TCAAAATGTCTTTTGCCTCCTACTTCTTTCCTCTCTTTCCTTTTACTTTCCTCCTGTCCCACTATAATGTTAGACCTTCATTCCTCTCTCTGTACTTCCTCTCGGCTACATTGCACTTGATCAAGCCCTATCAGGCATTCTAAGCCCTCCTGGCCATTGATTTTAGATCTCTTGTTGCTCCCTTATCCCTGGGTTTGTCGGCTCCCCACTCCCTTTACCCCACCTCTTCCTCTCTCCTGTACTCCCAGAGCCATCAGTTTCATTGTTTTCTCCTCAGATTGTTTATCTTGCCTACCTTATATAGATAGACATGGGGGAATTATGAATAGTTCCAGGTCTGTCTGCTGACCCTTATGAAGGTTTCTGATCTGCTCTGACACAGTGCCAAGCCTTGCTTCCGGGTCTGAAGTCTATTTCCAGAATTCCTCGGGGACTTTGTTGCTTTGCTCCCTTGCTGCTCTGTTGCGCTCCCTTTGTGTGACACCCTGGTGTGGGGGGGTCAGACTGGGCACAATTCCCACACTGTGTTGGTGCTGGCCCCCCTCCCCCCCCACCCCCGCCCGTAGCTCTGTGGGTCTGTAAGGGGATGTGGTGTCTTGTGGTGAGGCCAACCCTATAGTTCTCTCTGTGCATTGGCTCCTCTGAGTGGGAATGTTGTCCTCAAAGCTTGGAGGGCCAGGATGCTGTCCACTCTCTCTTTCCCTCTTAGTTTGCTCCTGTGAGGTCTGGGCAGACCTGCCCCTCTCCCCAGGCTGTATCTTCAGTGCTGTCCTCTGTAGTAGTGCAGTCTTCTGGGGAGGAGGGTCCACATAGCTGGGATAGGGGACTGCCCCACAGACATATCTGTTAGTTCACTGCTTCATGCCGGTAGGTTGCTCAAGGCTTGGTGCACAAGGCTGAGGGCTGATCCCTCTCTCCCTTTCCTGTGGAGACATAAATAGTACCCTCCCCATGGTGGATCAGTGCCCTGTTCCCCCAATGCCTTAAGACACCATTCTTTCTGATAACCAGGCATCATCTAGTTTCTTCACCATACTTTGCTATAGCACCCATATCTTCAGTGACCATTTCATGAGGGTGAGTATCGAGTAGGGTCATATCATAAGAACTAGTTGTTCTTAGGTTGGAGCTAGAATTAAGTGTGAGCCCCAAATCAATTTATTAATTTATTTAAAATCATTTTATTGGGGGCTCGTACAACTCTTATCACAATCCATACATCTATCCATTGTGTCAAGCACATGTGTACATTTGTTGTCTTCATCATTTTC